GTTAGAAGTATACCAACACTGACATTACATTAATACAACCCCAATTACACTACCTTGTTCAATGTTCTCTTTTCTAATGTCGAAATTTATACTTCGAGATGTAATATGTTGTAAATGTGACTCCACAAACTCGCTTACTCTTTCTACGTGTTTTTTTTTTCTATTGTATAGGTGTCAATCAAACGCCATACGTCTCAGTAGTTTGCCCGACTAGCACAAATGTTTTGAAAGTTGTGGAGATTTACTGTATTGAAAACAATGAATTTTTAGTATAGAGAGAAAGAAACTTGGTCCCGTGACATATTTCAGTTTTACAGAATTCCATCAGAGTCCTGTTTGTCAGATTTGCAGTTTCTCTATAATAAAGACAGACGTTAACATAAGGGCTTAATTGTTTTTTGCTTCGGCGTTATGTTCGGTTGGACCTTACGCTACAGGTTACTGCATGCACTACTGTGGTGTGTGTGTGTGTGTGTGTGTGTGTTTGTGTGTGTGTTGTGTAGTGCCTTCCGCGTCTTTGTCGTTTACGGCCCAGTCTACGTACACATAGATACACTGGTCTCATGCAGCTCATTCAAGACCATGGCACCTTAATTTATCAGCTGCATGCATGCAGGTATAAGTGCAGTGGGGGACATCAGTATCTTCCTTCTTCCCTGCAGCAGCAGAGAAGGTTCATACATGCTTCTCCCTGAGAACAATTGAAGCTTGGGCCAGTTGGTGATGCATATTTGATGGAATGAAGTGTCGTGAACGGCTCTCCTCAGCCCAAAAGTCTAAGCGTAACCTCCTCTGTCTCTACTTTTGTTTCCCGTTAATTGAGCTTCATTTGATCAAGTATGCTCATCCATATAACTGCCATCGTTTCAAGGGGGTTTTCAGGGTCCACCCTACTCACATGAGTGTAGCTTCATCCAAAACTCATAGTTTAGGGGTGTTCGTAAACACCTAATAAAGTAGGGTGTAACATTTCTTTACACCCTACTGTTTCAGGGTGTTTCTAAACACCTTATTGTTTAGGGTGTTCCTGTACACCCTAGAAGGGTGTTGCCCATGGGACAAAACAAATACACTCTTACGGGTGTAAAAATTTTTAGAGTGTACTTTACGCGCTGCACTTTGTGTGGTCAATTGGGAACCACCGCAACAATGGTCGATGTTCAGTGACTCAAGGGCTGCCCTACAATATGTGCTCTCAGCACTGCGCTGCGGGCCGTACGAACACCTTGTTTTTGAAATCCGATGCTTTCTCCACATTCCACACGAGAAAGGGCATCATGTGACGTTTCAGTAGCTGCCAAGTCACTGCGGCATCATAGGGAACGAACATGCCAATACTGCCACGTGGGCAGCTCTTGAAGGAACATAAGAAGAAGCCATACCACTTTCTCGGACTGATGCAGCCAGTCATCTTCGACGACTTGCTGTGAAGTCACGTTTTCACCATGGTGCCCACTAAGCAACGAGACGAATCGTCAACACCGCCAATCCTCTTTGATGGCTTTCCGCATGCCCACTGGGCTCGATCGAAGTGAAGCCACCCTTCTTCATCGCTTATGGCTAGTAGTGGCATTTACAAAATCTTATTCCTTTGTCATAGGAAGGGCCATCAACGCTCTCTGTGATGCCTGTCACTGCGAAGAGACGCTACACCACATCTATATGCGCCTGTCCGTTGTATGACATTCAGAGTCAGTCACTAGCGTCCGTTGTTGCGCGCATCGACAACAGCCAAATGTCTGTGACACTATTCTGTCAAGTGCCCGCGAGAAGACATTGCTACAGAAGGCGACAAAAGCTCTGTTGAAATTCTTACGCGACACGAACTTCAAAAATCGGCTGTAACAGCAATGTCACATGCCGCGAAGAACAAGACTGGACTATGACTGAGCGTGCGCACGTGTGCTGCCGAATGTGATTTGTTTATCTCTCTTCCCTCTCTGATCTTTACCTTTCATCTCCCCCATCCATTCCCATGCGCAGGGTAACAAACCGGCTGCCTATAGGCCTGTTAACCTCCCTGCTGTTCTTTTCCTCTATTTTCCTTCCTTTTATTACTTCCTGTCGATGAACACTCTAAAGAGCTCTCTCTACTAGGTCTCAGCATTTTGAGCTGACAAGCTTAATGCATGCACTGGCCGCTCGTGATCACATCTGCCAAAACTTGCAACTCCACACACCGCAGGAAGATGTTAAACTGCAAACTGAACGCCACTTGGCCTTTGCTCACGGGCACACCTTTGAAGATTGAAAAGATGACGTACAAGGAATGGTCCTGTTTTTACGTTGCTTTGTTTAAATGCGAAGCATTTCTTAGCGAACTTCGCTGACTTTGAGAGTATCTATCTATCTATCTATCTATCTATCTATCTATCTATCTATCTATCTATCTATCTATCTATCTATCTATCTATCTAGCCACCTACGACTTCTAGCTCTCCTGGTAATTTCTATAATGGTATCAATGCCAAGCTTGGCATAGCATACCATGACTGCGTGAAGAACATATTTGACTAGTCATGACATAAAAATTATGATATTAATGTCATGAATGTCAGGACTTACATTTCATGGTCCTTTAGCTCTTGCTGTGGCTTCGTTCACATGGCATGTTGCAAAACTTGAATATTAGGACATGATTGCATGACGAACACAAGCGGCAGACCCTTACATAAAAATCGTAACATGCCTGTCATGTAACATGACTATATGCCAGGCTCATGATGCATTCGTGGCCGTTTCGCTAGCGTCACATATGCTAAGTTTGGTGTTATCAAAAGTGAATGGATGAAGAAGGTACGTGACTTGTACAAACAAGATAATCATGAGATGCGTGTCATATGAGAACATGACTATGTACCACAGTCAAGGCACCAATACATTTCGACGTGACGCGGTATGGGTGCTCACCGGTGTTCATTTCGTCGCGTCACGCCAGCGTTGCGACACCAGGCGCCGGTTTTGCCATATACTCGTAGGTGCGCGCCGTGCTGCGTTGCTTTGACGCATGCGCGTTTCAGCGCATCCCTCCGTCACGAAAAGAGGGAGACGCAGTGTCGTCTGGCTAACGGATCGGCGTGAATTTCACGCATGTTGTCATCGGGCCGCGCCAACGGATGCTGGTCGCGCCGGTCGTGGCTGGCGTCAGACTGCAGAAAGCTCGCATCCTGCTAACGTAGCGTTGCTGTGCCCAGCGTGCGCACGCGTCAACGCTATATTGGAGTATGTTGAGGTCTTTATGATGTGCTCGCGGCCGTTTTGCTATCTCCACATATACCGAAATTGGTGTTACGTGACGTCAATGGATGACAAAAATATATGACTGGTGCAAACATGGTAATCCAAACACACGTGTCATGTAAGAACATGGCGACATACTGCGCTAATAGGTAGGCCCGTGTGCTCAGATTTGGGTGCACGTTAAAGAACCCCAGGTGGTCTAAATTTCCGGAGCCCTCCACTACGGCGTCTCTCATAATCATATAGTGGTTTTGGGACGTTAAACCCCACATATCGATCAATCAATATTGCGCTAATAGCGCGCTCGCAGCCGTTTCGATAGCTCCACGTATACTAAATTTGGTATCTTTTAACGTGAAAAGATGACGAAGGTAAACGCGACACATGTAAACATAATAATCATGACACGGAAGACATCTACGGCATCATTTACCTCCACTTCGTAACGTTGTGCTAATTTTAAAGTGACATATCAATCTTTCTTATTCGTGTTTCGCATATCATCAGTTCCCACTGTACGTGGGATTTGCCAATTTTTCGCATATATATTGGAGCTCTCACACCACTCACCATATGGTCCTAATGAAATCCTGCTTAAAAACTGGGTATTTTTTGAAAACCAGAAAAACACATTTCGTTTCCTGGCTATATCTACCACTTCAGAAAGGACCTGATTGAGAGCTTACATCAAGGTACATCACGAGAATTATTAGAGGTGATATGTAATTTGTTCAATGTGCTGTTTAGCTGGTGAGTCAAAACCTCAGAAAAAGAATTAAACGTGTGAACGAAATGTGAACGCGTTTTTAAAAATTATTTTTATGAAGCATCGCAGCGAGATGCTATACACCAATCAGCTTCTGTTTCACATGCTTTCGTTGTCTTGCCGTTCTCGCATCGTGGCAGCGGTAGCCTTCAAAACGCTTGGCGTGCTTTTAGTGCTCTTTAGTTTTCTCTGACAGCATTCCCAGCGGTGCGATGCGGTGCATGGTGGTGAAGACACGAGATCCGAGGCCGCCACTCAAAACGAAGGTGTAATGAGAGATCCATCCCACATAAACAGGCTATACACGGCGGACAATGCCGAAACGACAAAATATTGATGGCGTATGGGCACTAGCAGGCTCTGACACAGCATGCACATGTGAGCTTGCGTGCAAGTAGCGTGTTGATGAGTATGCGTCATGTGATCTGATACCGAAAAGGGCAGGGTATGAATTGATTGATTGATATGTGTGGTTTAACGTCCCAAAACCACCATATGATTATGAGAGACGCCTAGTGAAGGGCTCCGGAAATTTCTACCACCTAGGGTTCTTTAACGTGCACCCAAATCAGAGCACACGGGCCTACAACATTTCCGCCTCCATTGAAAATGCAGCCTCCGCAGCCGGGATTCGAACCCGTGACCCGCAAATCAGCAGCCGAGTACCTTAGCCACTAAACCACCGCGGCAGGGCCAGGGAATGAATTGAGCTTGCGATGGCTGTATGCAAAATGCGAGTACGTGTTAAGGGTTTCACGCTTGCCTCCTCGCGTCTTCGTTTCATGGCTTGTAATGAACCAATTTGAAAAATTATTGTGGTAAAACGCACTTCATTAGGCATGCAGCAACTTCGAGTGTGTAACTACAATTCAATATGTGGGCTGGTAAGGGGTCTTTTAAAAAGCAACATTGAATTACAAGCAGAACAAAACCCACATGCGTATTACGTTTTTATTTCGATCCACAGACTTGCTTCCCCTGATGGCTCTCTCCGGTTTCGCATTCGTTCTTCACGTTCCTGTGGCTACACAAAGGAACTTCTTGTTTCCTTCCAACTTCCATGACGAGCCTTCAGGCAATTCTTCAATTCCTTCGGGACGTTGGGCAACTGTCTGTAGAATGCACTCGCGCGCCCTCAGCTACGGACACCAGCCTTTTTTCCTTCTTCAATCTTTAAGTTTGTCTCCCAATTACCCTGCAGATTCAGAGACTTGCTTCCTTTTAAGGCAGCAGAACCGACGTATTTCCCTGTCCTCTTCTTCCAACCACTCGCCGTGTTAGAAAGCACGATGGCATATGATGGCTGCCACGTTCCATTTCACTGGTTGTACCACTTATTTTTCAGAATTCGTTGAACTAGAGAACACGGCTGGACGTCATAGTATTAGAAAAGGCTATTGTTGCGCTGTGACATAAATGAGGGTTTCAAAGCACACTGGAAAACGAAATTACAAAATTTGAGATGAAAAAAGTTTAAAAAGACGCCGATGTCAAAAATAGGCATATATAGGCACTTATAGGTGTTATAGCACAAACACTGAAAGTAGGCACTTATAGGCAGTATGAAAATACCCTAAAGCCATTCTAAACTTCTAATTCGTATCTGTACAATATGGTGGCATGATAGTAACGCAAAAACAACATAGCCATTTGCCTAAAATCTGGTCTTATAGTGATGAATCTAAGCTGCATTGGAAACCTGACGCGAGAGTGTTCATCAAGGGATAGGAATAGCATTGTCTACAGAAAGAGAAACAACAGCTGTGTGGCCTAACGATTTTTCGAGACACTGAGAAAACGTGTTAGCATGATCTTCTGAATGGTTTGTCATCCGCAAGAGCTGCACTATTAAAGCGCGCCCTCCTGTAGGGGCTAGGAGGTGGGGTTAGCCGCAGAAGCCAAGGTTGAAAATACGAGACACTGGTTCTTATTGCGCTCGGCTTTTTGCGTAGCTAATTATTGTACCGTCTTCAGCCACTGCATAGACAACTGACACAAAATTTTTCGCAAATGTTTAGCGGATACCACGCTTCTCAGAAGAATGACGAGAAATAGCATAGCGAATGTCAGCCTACTACCCAAAAGTTAATAATAATGCCCTTGTGGGTATCAAGCAAGTGTGCTTCAAGTAGTTACCCAATGAGTGTTTAAAAAGGCTCTGAAAGGCCACTCTTCTAGCTTTCGCTGTGAGTTAGCTGCACCTACCAAGCAGGCCTGGCGTTTTTTTTCAATGCGCTTGCATCGACGGAGCAGCACAGACATTTTTTTCGCGTATTCGTAGCCGCCTATTACGGAAGCGTGCCACAAATTAGGACATCATAGACAATGCTGGTAGGTGGTATTAGCAATAAAGTTTTACCATATTCTAAAACTACTTTCGATGTCCTGTGAACGCAAAGCTAGTTTTTCTGGTGCGAACACGAGGAGAGACCCTTAGTTGATGCCAGCTGAGTGTTTGGGTCTCTTCTATACATCATATTTATGCTCGTAAACGAGCTAAGTACAGCGCCAGCCCCAACTGTCCTGGACCTGCTAGAGGTCCCTAATGCAGTGCCTTCGATTCGCTGATAATCACCGCGGTTCACAAACGGCCTTCTTAAATTCTTAATTTTTCCTTCGGATGACAGAACACCGAAGTCATGTACTTCAAAGAAACTCTACCCGCAATGAATGAATCTAGTCATTTGTGCATGCTGCACTTTTCTTGTCTCTTTTTTGTTTTATTCTCTATTCCATTATCGCCATTGCAGGGTAGCAAACCAGATTCTTGTCTGCTAAACGTTCCTGCCAATCCTCTTCTTGCTTTCTCACTCTGTATCTCAAGTGAAAACTTTGCCGACACTCAGCAGGGAACTCCAATTCCCGATGAATGACTTTCAAAGCGTGGCACTGGCTGCGTTTTTGAAATGTTTGGCGGCAAAGCTCATGCATGATGATACTCGTTTCCAGTGTAATACACTATGGCTGTCGAAGGATGAAATGCATGCATTATATACTGCTCCACCATAAAAGATATCAACAATGTATTATGCGTATTGTTTTCTATCTGTACGCCCTTAATATACGCCGAGACGTGTTCGTTGTTATTGGCATATCATTCAGACAAAATCTTTACACGGAGCATCAAAAACGAAAGGTGTCTGGTGGAGTTATCTTGAAATATTAGGAAAATCGTCACGTAGCGAGGCAGTGATGACGTGAATTGTCATAAAAATTGTGTGATTATGGTGAGGTTGACTAAAGGCTCACTAAACCGGTATCACATGATGTCTTTATCACATAACCTTGTCATTGGTTTCGCAGGTGGGCTGAAACCAGAGGCACAGGTAGATCACATGAGGAATTAGGACTTGCCCCATTTCACAGTTCTGAGGAAGTGCAAAACCGCACTGGGTGCAGGAAACTTGTAGTCTATGAGCCATGAAGAGGCACGTCCACTCTGCTGCGGTTAGGATCTGGTAACGCGTCGTTTCTATAGCACTCAGTTTCGAACAAATTTTCCTAAATTATGGCATATTTAGCAACGCCTAAATTAGCATTGGGAAACTATACATCTCGAAGACGCCAGAAAGATGTTAATAAAATAATCTATGGTGTGACAACTCATATTGCTCGTTTACGCAGTAATGACGCTTCAGAAAAACGAACAATGAATGCCTAGGAATGCATTCCGGAAAGAAAAAAATGCATGCTTTACTCTGCGTGGGAGAATAACAGAAAAATTTTAAAACATGCGAAAAGATAGCAATTCATATTGAGTGGTTGATAGAGTAATAATTGTCGCACTTTTTGTTTAAGTTTGTGGAATACTTAGCAAAGATAATTTTACCTCCGATTTTATGTCTCACACAGTGGCACTTTTGGCGACCAAGTAGGCAGTAACCAAAAGGGCTACCCAGAACTAAGCAGTAGAAATCACACGGACTCCTCGTTATTGGACATCTCGAATCTGAAAGAAAAAATCAATTAGAGGTCGTGGTGCATATATCTATGCTTTGGATATTTGATCATTTTAGCATGTACTCGCGTACTGCAACTGCGCGTTCTATTCTAGAGCTACTCATTTCCTAGAGCCCAATAAGCTGCCTGTTCAAAAAAATGAATGAAACGTCTGATGGCCTCACTACCGCCAATGTTTTCGAAAGCTTGACTTTTTACCAATTCATACATTGTGAGCCAATTGCAACAAACTACAGTTATCAGAACGGGTATGAGCCACTACGTGCCCTGCATGAAAACTGTGATCATGACAAACATGCATGTACCACAGAAATTTGATGAATAGCACTACTCATCAACGGTCCATAAAACGCAGAGTGCAAAAGTTACTTTTACAAATCAGTGCGAAGCGAGCCGAACAGCCTCTGCGTGTCACTAGAGTATACTAGAGTACGTGAAAAACAACCACCGCTGCCAGAGGAAACCGCAGCAATGAAGGACTTCCGCCAAAGGCGACTTGCCCATGAATCTATTAGAGGTCTGAACAATTGTTTTCCGCGTGAGCTTCTGTCTGAGGGGTGTCGTATCGTGCATGTGACTGACTGGGCTACAACTATCATCTCTCTGCGGTAAGATGCGATGTAGGAACAACCTAGCATTACCTAGCTAAGGCTTATAAACAACCCAGACGCCGCCAGATTAGTCTTCAGAATTGTCTGGTTGCACTGTTTCAAGTTCTTCGCAGCTAAGTTAAGCTACGCATTTTTTTCCTCTAGAGGTGGTGTTCTTTTATCTTCGATGTCTTATGAAGTCTCTGCTGAAAATTAGTTCTGCTATACAGCGTTGTCTGGTGTTAATAAAAGTAAAATATACTAAATATCTGAAAATTTGAACACGGATAAATGATGTTCATTGGCGAAAAGTTATATGCTCATCTTGTGCGTAAGAGGTTTCGTTTTCTAGAATGAATTTGATTTCTATTGAATCGGGGGCACCCATGAAATGTTCGAAATAAAAAATAAATGTCAGCTTTGCGTCATGGTTGCTTTCTAATATCAATACAATTTTCCATTTGAGATTTTGTGAGACTTTAAGTCTTACTCCGACACTGCGGCTCAAAATAAATCACCTTTTATATTAATACTGCATCAACGCAATTATGCTCGCCACGGTGGTCTAGTGGCTAAGGTACTCGGCTGCTGACCCGCAGGTCACGGGATAGAATTGCGGCTGTGGCTCTGCAGTTTCGATGGAGGCGAGAATGCTGTTGACCCGTGTGCTAAGATATGGGTGCACATTAAAGAACATCAGGTGGTCGAAATTTCCGGAGCCCTCCCCTACGGCGTCTCTCATTATCATATAGTGATTTTGGGACGTTAAACCTCACATATCAATCAATTACCTCAATTTAATGATATACTTACTCTAGGTGGCCTCATGAGTCGCTTTAATTATCTGTATATTGTAGAAGTTGATAACATCATCTAACGGGTCGTATCTTAAACGCATAAGTAAATGCATGCAAAGGCAAGGGTTGAGCACGGCCATCGCATGAAGGATGTGTGCGATAACACTGTTCCACTTTTGTGAACTGCTGTCGATGGTTCCTCGAATAGGGCGCCCCCTTGACTCTTTCATTGGTGAATTGAGAGGTGCGTGCTGACGTCGCTTGGACTACCACTCCAATCTTTGATCATAAAGGGGCAGTCGCGAGGGCTGGCTTGTGCAGAATTATGACAGACATAAGCAGACGCCGTGTAGCCTTATTGCGCTCTCAGAGTTTCGTGTTAAGAGGACTGGAAGCATGAAAACTGATTTGATCCCTGGAGAGATCATATTACCATCAACCACCGTTCTGCTGCGCTACTCGGTATCGTGTCCAAAATAGATCGCTGCTAGTATTACCACCTCTAACATTTCCTTTTTAATACCGAAGGTGCTGAGTGTCACTTGAAAACCTGCATGCACCACGAAAAAGTCTGCAACGTTGTCGCCTAGTAACAGGCGCAACCATAGTTTCGCGCCACGTTACAAAACCTCACCAAATTACGCGTGATGCTCCAGCACTAGAGAGAAGGCGCCGCCAAGCAGCGTCCACCAATGGAAACACTGCAAAAAAGTTCGATTCCACGCCTCAGGGTCTTTTTCTGATTCTTTTTTCTTTCTTGCGTTTTCATAAATATATATAAGTATACATATACGGTGAGTGACGCCGACGCCGACACCGGCAGCAAAATCCAGCTGAGAGTGTCCATATAAATGCTATAGCAACAAAAGGCGGCAAGCCTCGTCCAGGTCAACTATGTTGGGACGCGTGTATGCGTGGGCATGATGTAAGATAAAAGTGCTTGTATCTAACTCTTGCTTTAGATCAAAAAACTGCATGTACCATTCACGCATGCGTGATAGTATGATCCGCTGTGTGCGTCTGTGTGTATTTAACACAGCATAATATAAGTGTGCACTTAGCGGTTGAAGGGAGAACTGGGGGCTGGATTTTGCTATCGCGTTCAACTCTTAAATACAAAGCTTAGGGGTCTCTCATTTTTATTCGGGTGGAAGCTGTGAAGAGCAGAGAAGGGTGGCGCTGCGTGGCAGCTTGGCTTGGCTGCCATCACAACTTAAAGCACGCTGTTCAAAACAGAAAAACGCACGGAACGTACGCACAAGTATACACAGGACGAGCGTGAACAAATGCCGCAATTCTTACTTGTCCGTGCGTGAGCAACGCGCTGATTTTGTAAGCGCGGCAGTGGGCGAAGTGACCATCCTCCTCACTTTAACCACTGTAATTACAAAGCAAACCCGCGGTTGAAGCACAAGAGATACATCGCAACAGAATCTCGAGATAAGCACGCGCTTGTGTGGGCCACTACGCCAGACATTATCTTTACAGACCTCGATTCACACTTTGACCCCGCCACGTGATGGTGCTCTCGCACATCAAGCCCAGGGTGGCGCTTCACGATGAGCTTGAGAGCGTGCACAGCGAATGCGTGCCCATCGTGCCATCTCGATACTGATGACAAAAACGCGCTGCTGTGCCAAGCACTGAGGACTGCCAGCGGTAAAAGGTGTATATAAATGGCTCGCCGTTAGCATGGCCGAGAAGTGAAGCTTTGTGGCTAAGCGGTTAATGGTGAGCGCTGAGAAGCGCGAGTTAACTGGTTCGATGCCCCAACTGTGGAAACTTTTCTTCTCTTGTTTGCTTTGCAATTTGTTTCTAAATATTTTACAGCATCATATTCGTGACGAAAATACGTTACCGTAAGTCATGGTGGATCTCGGCATAAAACACTTTCGTGTTAAAATCCAGTATGAGCGCCTTCCTTAAACAGCTTCACCGGTGGTCTGTTACAGCATCCATGGTTTTCAAAGTAGTTCGAAAACTTGTCAAATGTGGTTAGATGGCCATCAGGGTGAACAACACTCACCGAAGAAGACGTACCTCCCTCCAAAAGGTACACCTGCTTTGCGAAATTCCTAGATCGTGTCTCTGCCGAGCAGAAAGGACCCTCGATGGTCCATTACTGTCAGCGAACTAGTCACCATTATTGGTCCCAGCTGCACCTTGATGTCTACCTTGCCAATGACCACGAATCGTCCCACGAAACATGAAAGGTGCAGAGGGATTTTCTGCAGAGCAGGCCACTACTTGCAATGCTTCTCATGAAAAGCCTTGAATATTACGATTTCCGGCTGTCTATTATCAACAATAATTCGCACCCTACGGTCTTTTTACGTTAACGTTCACTCCATAGGATACGCCAAGTGCCTACTGACTGAACTGTGCGCGAAGAGAGCATACATGTGTTTTTTGCTTTTGCGTTCTGTTCCGCCGACAGGAAATGCTCCAAACATGGGGGTGCGGGGTCTTTTGGAAGCCCTAGCTAAGTGCCCGTTTTGACCACATTGATGGCGTATGTAACTTTGATGTTGGCAACACGCCATTTCATGCACCCTTTGTGTATCTGCACATGAAAGACCGCAGTTTTGCAGACCGCAATTGTTCCTGCACGCTTTTTTTGCTTTTGTAATATGTCGCCTCATTCAGTCTGTTTGTATAGAACCCGCATGCCGCATGCGTCGTCACTCGCTCTCTTTCTTCACGAGTCTAATTATTGCAGTCCAGGAAGCACCAGCACGTTTTCTCGTTCCGAATACCACATGCGATTTAGTCCCTCAATATATAGTCCAGTGTCCCTTCAAAATTGCAAATCAGGGTGCGTTGTATGAGCTCAGCCGTGTAGCCCCGACGCTTTATTCGTCTTCTTGTCCTCACATAAAGAAACAATAACTCGCTGCTATTTTGTTTGCCTGAGGATTGACATGTTCTTTCAGACATTTCACTACGATGTCGTACGTCAAAGTGTTCATCGGGACTCCTGTCTAGTGCCCTTGCCATTTCTGGATGACACTTTCGCTCAATATTTACACCTATAGGACCCGTAATTTGGCTGCATCAGTAAGCTCGTTGTCTTCAAAGTAGGCTTGCAACAGGACGCAATACGTGCAATAGCTACTCAAGGCGTTTTCCACGGCAAAAGAATGGAATCCCGTTTTTTGTTTTTTTTTTTGCTGGTGTCAGCGTTGAAATTCAGTTAAGTGAATCCGATCTCCATCGCTTCAATAGCAATCACGGTGAGTAACATTTCTGATTGAGGCGGAAATGGTGTAGGCCCGTGTGGTCAAATTTGAGCGCACGTTAAAAAACCACAGGTGGTCGAAATTTCCGGAGCCCTCCACTACGGCGCCTCTCATAATCATATGGTGGTTTTGGGACGTTAAACATCACATATCAATCAATCAAGATGAATAAGACGCTTTATGACGAGAACAAGAACGAAACGTTAATTGACGCAGCTGCTGTTTTGTCTTTTCTCATGTAACGGCCAAAGCGTCCCAGCATGCGCCGAAACGATGGGTGATGCACGTGCTATAAACGTGTTTTTCGACGCGTGCAATAGAAAACCTACGGTTTTTCAGAAAAAAAAAGTGTAAAGTATGTTAAAACTGTGTATAGGATAACATAGCACGTCGGTAAAAGAGGCAAGTGAGAGTGAAAAGATATGTAGGAATGACGGAGAAAATCAGACATGGGAAAGTAAAGCATTCATAGTCATGTACTACAGCCTAGCAAAAGCGAAGGTGATGCAAGTATAAAAAAAGGGGGGAAGGTGGCGTCGGACACTGAATTATTGCAAGTCCTGTAGGCATTCAAGTCTCAGTATTCAGTGCTGCTCGAATTAACCGCAGTGTGCCACACGTGACTGTGGCCAATCATTTTGAGGAAGTCACCACGATTCATGACAATTCGCTTGACGTGCTGAATTCCTGGGCCACTTAACTTGATATGTACCATTTTTTTTTCGCTATAAATGAGCAGCACCGAACAACATTGCGTATGCGTTATGCGCCAAACATTAAATTCTTTTTGAATAAACATCGCACATGACTGGTGGCTGAATAAACAAATAAATAAATAAATATTCTAATGAAAAATAATTAGAAAAGCTCCAAAGAAAAAAATTATTTCTTGAAGTCAATTTGAGAGTGTCTTAAAATCATGTTCTGCGAAATTTACGCAGTTGCACCTTAAAGCACAGACAGGGGAAAGAAAGTGTATGTAAGGAGGAGAGAAAGTAGGATGAGGAGGTTCACTCATACCATAGTATACTTTACAGTAAGGGGCGGAAAAGAGATGTGACGATGAGTAAGAGTAATGCGAGGCTGAGGAGGGAGAAAAGGAGGGAAGTGAGGTACTTATGTTACTCGGGGATATACGTGACAATGAGATGATGAGTCAGTGCGAAGTGGAGGCCTTCGCAAATTTAGCTTACTTGCTGTCAATTAACGTGCACTAATATTACACAGTAGATAGGCCTCTAGCATTTCGCCTGCATCAAAACAATTCGCCGCAGCAGGGATCGAACCTGCTGCCTTTAGGTGAAAATCTCAGCACCGGAACGGCTAGACCACCTTGTCGGACAAAAAGGAAAGGTATGGTATCGCCAAGGAGGATACATGAAAACTTGCTGGAGTGGAGAGGGCGCTCATCGAGTGACGCCAGCCGTCAAAATCTTGCCAGTGGCAAAAAAAAAAAAAAACGCGCTCCACAAAACTCGCACGCTGCTGCTTTTGCGCGTTGTTACTTGACTGTGTGGGCTTATAAACACCAATGGTATGACAATGGTTACCCCTTGCGTGGCTTACGGATGCGCCAACAGGACAGAAAAAGGTTCTGACGTCACATTCCCCCTATGGGTGCACAAAACAGCTTTCGACTTAGCCATTTTGTGCACGTTACTGAGGAATCCCATTGAGGCGATATGAATGTGCAAAAAATATTGTAGTCCTGTCTATTTCCGACAGGTTTTCCAACGATTCTTAAGATCGGAGTCTTGTGCCATTCACTGTAAAAAGTGGAATGCGAAGGATGGAGATCGCCTAGGCTCCGTGCACTTCGCGCCAGATTGCTTTGACTGCAGCGGGTACACAGTCAGATTACGGGCGGGAAGTGTACCTTCCATGTGTACTGCATTTCCACAGCTCTTTCAGAAACCCGTGAGTATTATTAGAAAGTATCACATCATGACACGCACGCTTGGCTTTCTCGCGCGATATGTGTTAGTCTACAGCGTGGCTACAGAAATCGAGAGTAGACTAATGCATTTGTCGCACATGACTCAGAAGTGTCTTTGTTGTCTTCAGTGTGCGATTTATTTTTCGCGCATGCTCATGAAAAATGAAAAAAAGTGCGTACTGTCAGTGCCGTCCATATGCTTTGTAACCTTTTGAAAAGAAACGGTCGTGACTGCGCGGGTGTTAAGATGGATTTAATGCTCTATCGGCCAGTAGAAATGAAAAAATTGTGCCGTATTCTGTGCGCTAACGTATGACAGCCCCTGTAAGTTCCTTCGTAAGGCAAAAACTTCTGGGGTTTTGTATTATGGGACGTGAATGAATGACGAATGCGTATGTGACTGGTGCAAACATTATAATCATGACGTGCGTGTCATGTAACAACTTGACTACATGCCACACTGATGATGCGCTGCAGCCGTTTCGCTAGCTTAACATACGCCAAATTTGGTATGACGTCACGTGAATTGATGACGAAGGTATGTGAATAGTGCAAACATGATAATCACGAGATGCGTGTCATGTAAAAACATGACTACATTTCACACTCAAGGCGCCAATACACTTCGACGTGAACCGGCACGCGTGCGCGCTGGCGTTCATTTCGTCGCGTCACGCCGGCGATGCCACGCCAGGCGCCGATCTGCGTCTCTCTGGCTTTGATGCATGCGCGTTTGAGTGCGCCCGGCGTCCCTCTATCATGAAAAGAGGCTGACAGAGTGCTGTCTAGGTACAGCAAGGTAACGGCATGGGCACGAACTGCAGCCTGTTGCATTTTGTGCCAGTTGCCGCCGGGTCACGCCGACGTTCGCTGGTCGCACCAGTCGCGCCTAGCGTTCGTTTTGCTAGTGCAGCATCGTTGCGCCCAGCATGCGCGCTCGTCAACGTTAGGTCGGAGTATATTGGGCCCTTCATGATGGGCTCGCGGCCATTTCGCTAGCTCCAAAGGTACCAAATTTGGTGTTACGTGACGTCAATGGATGACGAAATTAAAGGACTGGTGCAAGTATGATAATCATGACATGCGCCATGTAAGAATGTCACAGTATACCACTCTCATGATGCGCTCGCGGCCGTTTCACTAGCTCCACATACACCAAATTTGATATAACGTGACGTGAATAGACGATGTAGGTAAATGACATGTCTATACATGATAATTATGATATAGTGTCATATAAAGGATGACTACATGCTACGCTCATAGTGTGCCCGCGGCCGTTTCAGTAGCTCCAAACACATTAATTTGGTATTACGTGACTTAAATGAACGAAGAATGTAATTGATAGGTTGAAACAAGATAATCGTGACTGGAAAGACATGGAAAGCATAATTTACTTCCGCCTCGTAATGTTGTGCTGATTTTAAAGTGGCATATCAACCTGTCTTATTCGTGCTTCGCATATCGTTAATTCCCTGTCTACGTGGGATCTGCCAATTTTTTGTAGCTCAGCGTGTCTTTATTGTAATCTAAGTTTTTAAAAGTGTCTTATGAGGTTTTCCAAGCGTCTATTTCCTGTTCGCATGGCACGCAAAACAAGCGTAACGAGAAGCGTTTCATATTTCTTTACAGTTGCCATGAATGTAATGCAGGCTTCTAATTTGGAACATCAGCCCACGCTTTTCTTCAAGCACGAACGTCGCTGAAAGACGGAGAAGTCGCCGTTCCTGCCTTCCTGCAGTGTTCAATTTAAAAAGTAAGTGTATTTTTTGCTTGTTCTCATGCTGATGTAGCAACACCTGCTGATATATGGAACTCCTATACGTCCTAGGTAATGAATTCTTCCATAGGAAGCGTGGTGCTCTGACGCCTCCTCAGGAGAAACTCATTCATTCAAATGGTTTATTCTGCAAAACTACTTACGAAGAAGGTCTGCCGAAATACTTGGGATAGTTGTATTTGAAGAACCAGGTGGCTTGGGTTTCAGAAGGTTTTCGAGAGCCGTGCCTATGGATCGGGCAAGAATAATGATTGCGAAATCAGTCTCATCAGCAACCTCAAGCAGTGGTTCTGGTTAGTACTAGTACGGTGAATTATCGAAGCTCACTTACGCATAACATACTACAGTGACACACCCTGCGTATTAGCTCATACATAGCTTATTTTTTGTTGAACTTAGCAGGATGCAAGGCCCAGCAATCATGTCAACGGGGATACGCGTGGAATGCAATGAAAAAAAAACGTTATTGCAGTCCTGCAGGATGCGCTTAGTGCGTAGCGGGCGTCTCCCACGTAGGGACCGACAGGGAGTACCTGGCGGCCGCTTCGTGGGCCTGCTGGACGCCCCATTACGCATATCTTAATATATTCGAGCCAGTTGCTTATCTTATATATTGCGCATCACTCAAAATTTCCGACTGTCGAAGCCTTAAGGGCGATTGTACAGATGCTGTAGTGCAAATTTTTTTGGCTTCTGCGAAGTATAATACCATAGTTCTGCAAAATGTATTGCTTCAGCAAAGATATGCTGTGTTGACGCACGTCCTAGTACCTGATAAATGAATTGGATCAACAAAGCAACACAGTTTTGTGGTAAAGCACATTCTATAGCCGTGCTAGCCGACACTTGGTCGTTGCACAACTTCTTCGCGTTTCGATTCAGGTTATGTCACTAGTGCTTGCTACTCAATCTTAGTCAACATCGAGAAGATGTCGGCATTGCCAGAGCAAGAAGCGGGCAGGCGACATAATCACTGGTACTTAAGATTAACAGAGTGAATTGCAAGAGAAGACGACGCGGACGAAGGAAAACAGGGTCGAGTTGATTCGCAAACCATGGCGTACACCCTTCTTCTGGAGTTGACGTGGTCGTGCTATTCAAGATGTTCAACATTTTGGCTCGGTATTTCTGAATAGTTCTTAAGTGGGAATTATTTAAATGTCGTTGACACAACTTGTGTCTTTTAGGGGTTATCAAAGACGGCCTTCCGCACCAGTAAACCCGATTTTCAATTTGGAAAAACACCATTATACGTAAGAATAAAGTAGGTTTTGGTTGTGGGTGAACAGGTGAACAATTGTTTTGAATTAAACCATGGGCGTAGCCAACGGGAGAAGTTCAGACCTCCCAAAATGTTTCGTTTTTTGCTTATATATACTCGCACACATAAAAGCGCACGTTCGAACATACATAAATAACACTTCAACCCCCCCTCCCCAAGAAGGGACTTCTGGATATCATTTTTAATTCAATCGTTAACAATGTTGTGACCATCTATATTTTAGGGCCAGCATAGAACACGTTACGATGACGTCCCTTAGAAACATGGCCTGACATAACTGCACCATCTGCTGATTTTTGGTGTTGGCCACAATAACTTTTGACGTGATTAGCTTTAAACTTGAGGAAGATTTCATACGTGGGTCACGTCAATTCTCGATTTTCGGTGAAGTCAATTTTAGGGGTAAGCCAAGCCTAGTTTGGAAAGCTCTATTGAGAAGGCCATTGAAGGTCCAGTTCAGGGTGAACACTAAACGGGCCTGAAATTGATTATTCCAACGGTAAAATTCAAGGTTACCTCTTATGCGTGACAAATGTACTACGTCATACTTTGCCCTTGATACCCTACAGTCATTGCTAAATGTGGAATGGCTTGTTTCGTTGGCTATCCATGGCAATCCAAGTACATTAACCGCATGTACACATATGCCTAAATGTTGCTCAAACATTCCCTCAATGATACAAACTGACACCTCTCACCCTTTCCGGACATCATCGAAATCTTTATATGTAAGGTAAAAGCACTTTTGCACTGCTAGAGGAGAGCACATCTGCAACTGGTATGCATATGTCTCACCGTCAAATTGTGCTAGTGTACTCAAATTTCATTTATGAACTGGTTCTTGCGAGTGAATAGAATGTACCTTTTTGCTCGAGAAATTGCGTGTTGAAAATTTGGCAAGCTGGTTTGTCATACTTCAACTGGCTCACTACATTAAACAAGAAAGAAGAAACGGCTGATCAGATCAACACAAAACACACATAAACCTAACTTCTAACTGAGCATTATTGGCCAGTTGCGTTAAATATCTAGACTTTAGGTATACTTTAGTCAGCGAGCCCATGCTTGAAGATGTCAAAGACGCTTGCTCACGTATAGACCTCGGAACAGAGAACGCATTTTTCGCTCCGCTTACGAAGTGAATTTACTGGATGGTTAAGCTGGGTCCATTGGGTTTTGCCTTCGTCTTCCAGTGAACCTGAACATGTCTCGAGAAAACGCACTCAATAAAAACACGACATCTATGCAGTTTCCTTCACAGCCTCAGAACACTACATCTGAGCATGGCTTAACGTGGTTAACATGCCTAGTAAGTGACCGAACCTTCCATCGGAGTTCAGTACAGCTCCATCAAAAGGACCGAAATCAACGTTGGTTGTCACGCCCACACTTTCACCGGGTCCTGGGCGTGGAGCAAAGCAATCGTTTCTTTTCGTTTATTTAAAGCACTTGCTGCCACAATGGCGGAAAAAATATGACGTCACTGACAGTAGTGTAGATGCTTGCTAAACATTGAGTTTTATCGAATTATAAAACTTTTTCAGTTTTCCTTGATTCTTCGCTTATAGCAGTTAAACACGATATCCGATATCCTCACCCTAGTGCATGCTTCAACCACTTAATTTAATATTTTAGGAACGAAGCTCTGAAATCCATGGGTCTGTCTCTTCTAGCTCGTACGTAATCACCTTGTTCGATGACTTAGTCAGCAGATGAGGAAAGCGGACGGAAGAACAGATGGACAGAGAGACAGACGGACGAACAGAGAGACATACATAGATGATTGATTGATTGATTCATTCATTGATTGGTTGATTTGTGGGGTTTAACGTCCCAAAACCACCATTTGATTATGAGAGACGCTGTAGTGGAGGGCTCCGGAAATTTCGACCACCTGGGGTTCTTTAACGTGCACCCAAATCTGAGTACACGGGCCTACAACATTTCCGCCTCCATCGGAATTGTAGCCGCCACAGCCGAAATTTGATCCAGCGACCTGCGGGTCAGCAGCCGAGTACCTTAGCCACTAGACCACCGTGGCGGGGCGACATACATACATACACATACATACATACAACATACATACATACATACATACATACATACATACATACATACATACATACATACATACATACATACATACATACATACATACATACATACATACATACATACATACAGACAGACAGACAGACAGACAGACAGACAGACAGACAGACAGACAGACAGACAGACAGACAGACAGACACATGGACGGAAGGACGAATTGATAGACGGGCGGACGGACGGACGGATGGACGGAAGAATCAGAGGAGAGGAGAATGCCAGCCGGCACGCTAAGTGCAAAGTGTGGAGAATATGACGTCATGGCGACCATATTCGCTGAGTACAAAGACAGCAAGGGTGTTCACGGGCTTCGGGTAGCCCGAAAGCCCGAGCCCGGCCCAGCCCGGCCCAGCCCGCAAGCTAGGCTCGGCCGGGCTGACATTTTCTCATCTCAGGCCCAGGCTGGCCTTGGGCTTCAAATGTATTTCGCCGGGCAGGCGGTGCCAGACGCAAAGCCAGAATGATGTCCAGAATAAAGACTACCGGAACTGTTTTTCACTGCACAGGGCTTTTTACGCGAGCACCCCGGTTCCATTTCTTGGCTCTCCTTTCTTTTAGCCACTTTAAACGCAAGGTGAGAGGGTGAATTTCCATAGAGTGAACTTTGTGATTGTGGCTATACGAAATGCTTCTCTCCCCTATATTGAAGATACTAAACTTGCGGCAGAACAAATGGTCTAAACAGTCCAAATTTATCATGCACCAAAAAATGTATATCACAATTTCGGCGTCAGTTCCTGCAGAGAGTGGATATTCAGTTGGGTGGGATTTGTGATGCAGAAGAGCCGCACTTCACTGAGGCCCTAATCACTAAACAGCTTATCTGGACACGACAGCTTACTATAGTTGCATATAGGGACTGTCTTGTGTCTTATGCTTATGTTTCAATTTGACATATTGAAAATTACACCATCTCTCGCTGAAAGGAACCATGATGTGATGCGAAACAGCGCGGAGGAAGCACACCGCGTTTGCATCGGTTTCAGTAGCTGTTTCCGTTAATGTTTTTGTTAAGGTAGCGTATTTAGTGTTATCGTTTGCATTGTGCTTAGGTTCTTATGTTGTAGTTAGTGTAGACACCTAGTAAAACCAATGCAAACGCAGTGCTAACCCCCAGTGCTGCTTTGCATCATCTCATGTCCCCCTTTAGTGGGAGATAGTTAAATTCTATTGGACTTTGCATCGTCCAAGTCCGGGCGTTGAAGTTGTTGGCGAGCGAGGCGTTCTCTATAGGCGTTGGACCAACGTCGCCTGTCCGGAGCCGACGCGTTGGCTTGACGCTCACGCTAGGCTCGATGATGACGTGGGCGTTGCGTACGGCGGGGTTTGCTTGCCAACGCTGCCGTTTCATTTGGTAATGTCACACCCACGTTTCACCTGTAGCAGTTTCCCGCCGACGCTGCGGTCGGGTACGCAACGTAACAAAGGTGGGAGGTATCAATGTCCGCTCCTAGATACCGACGGACTTCATCGTCGTCACTAGCATGTTCTACTACGTTGACGCTGCTATTCCCAACTCAGACTTGAGTGGCCTGATCAAGCCAGCTAATGAAGCTAGTGTCATCGTCAAGGTTGCTCTTTTAGGTACTTTCCGCTGCGTGAAAATAGATTTTAGAGGCAACTCTCTACCTTCGCACACAAAGGTGGGCTCTTCTGAAACTCTATAAGACCGCTTGTTCTGAACCAGCTGCAATATCACAACTTCTTGATGCTCGGTCACGTGAGAAGCGCATGCGAATGTAACCGAGTATGTTCTCGCTGTGCTGAAATCCATTCCGTAGCCAATTGTAAAGTCATTGTTTTCAACTGTCTGAATGGCAATGGACCCCACGAAGC